AGTTGGTGGTCACATTTCATTCTCTGAAGCTATTCTTTCTCATATCATCACAGTACTCAGATGTTTGCATGTCTTGCTCCTATTGACCTCTGGACAAAACATACATATCTCAGTAAAATTGGAAATATAATGTAACAAGAAGTTTTACATTTATCTTATAAATAGAGATTCTGAAGCCATAATAAGAATGTGATAACTGAAAGCGTGATCATAGTGCATGAAGAGATGGGAGGTGATACGATTGCACTGTGTTTTCCTGGGAGAGTGTTTCTGTACGTACAAATGAGCTGATCTTATCTGAACATTTTTGTAGATTTTGATTCACATGACCTTCATTAACCTACTCTCTCGGGATTTTTCATGTATTTATCTTCAAACATAGAACCAGATCTAAATGGATTTTTAAATTTTTTTTCCATCTCTAACATTTCAGAAAAAAAAAACATTCATTTTAAACACTGTTTTATCACTTGGGAGGTTGGAGACAAATGATAAAAATAAATTATTTTTTCATGAGCAAAACAGGCTCCTATTCTTTATTCTGCTTCTTGCCAGGAGTTGCCATCAGCCCTTGAGAGGCTAAATCTCCATTTCTAGGTCTTTACTAATGCAGAAGAAGGTGGACATCATCTGAAAGATGGAAATGCCAGATTGTTCATGAGTTATGGCACAGCTGCTTGATATTTGCAAGATCACCAGGATGAACTCCATCATAGAGGCTGTAACTCCTCCAGGCAAGATTTACACACTTCAGAAAAAGGCAGAAACCAGTTGTACCAGAGACAGGACATTCATTCACATCTAATATTCACCCAAAAGGCCCATGGTTATAAAAGTACTTAGTCTGTTGTTCTGCCCAGTTGCCTTGGACAGTTTGGGCACACTACTGTCAGACACAACAGCCGGCTGACTGCTTCTCATCCTGAGAAGAAACAGAAACTCTCCCTCTGCCACGTAACACTTGTATCTGTAAAGTGTCAACTTCCTCTTTAATCATTATTTCTCTCTCATTTGCCTTCTATTTTCTGTTGACCTTCTTCTAATGATGAACAGCCAACAACGCTACATGTAAGACAAACAGCCCCAAAAACGTATTTCACAAATACAGATGTATCTGACACAGCCTATCATATGAAAGAAATAACTGTTGTGTACTTGTTATAGCAGAGCAATTCTCAGGAAAAACTTTAATCCAAGTTGACATGAGTCCAAAGGGTCATTAAGATTTTTTCTGAATAATCTGTAACTGGATAAACTCAGTAAATAAAGCATGCACCCGTGGCAAATAGCTCGTGCTTTTGTAATGAACTTTCTGACTTGCTATTAAACATTGCATAAACTGTCTGCAAATTCCAGCTGGCAGAGGGCTCCCACTTCCTGGCAACAGTAAAAGGAAGTTAAAATTTACTGAGAGCAAAAATATCCCAAGGTCAATATCTCTTCAAGCCTCCACGTCTGCTGTCTCCCTGAAGGCAGTGTGGGAGTCGAGCGGTACTCTTGGTTCAGGCCTAGAATCCTCAAAGTACCACCCAGAGACATCAGGGCTCATCAGCCAATTTCTGGTGTAAAGAATATCATTGTTTACTGAGCAATCACTACTGGATCTGTAGGGCACCCTTCCCTCACCAAGCATGATGATGATCATCTCTCTTCCATGCACTTATTGCTTGTCCTGACTGTTCTATTGACTATGAAAAATAGAAAGTTTCTGCAATAGACATTGAAGAGATAATTTCCCTCAAACCAAAGTCTTTACACATCATTGGAAACCTGCTTATCAAAGATCACAATAACCCCTCCTAGATATTGCTAGTGCTAGTGTAAACCTTTTGCTCAAAAAAAATTTCAATTTTTAAAATTTGATGAAGTAGAATCGTAGCTTGGTTTCCTGAAACAAAATCTGCCAGCCCTATGTGAGTGATTCAGATACATGTTTTCTTTCAAATGGCAGCACAAGTGACATTTTAATTCAGTATGAAATTCAGAAAGCTAAAAATAATAATGGAATATTTGGGTATTAGTGAAATTAAATGCCTCAATCCACATTTTTGCCCTCCTTTCAGAAAATGTTGTAATTTTTTAGTCTAGGATAGTTCAAAATCCTTTGTGCCCTAAAAAGACATGTGCCTCCTACTGTGCTCCAGGCATAGATTTAGGAATGGAAGGTGCCTTCCTTTAGTACCATCCTGTCAGGTACACACTGCAAGTCAAGTAACCCTGGAATTAGCCCATGAATGTGTTGGGTATCATCTCCTCGCAGACCTGCAGGCATGCAGCCCTGTATTGCTCTGGCCTTTTCAAAGGTCTATGTACATACATTATTTATCTTTCTCACTCACCTGCAGTTAACCCATTAGATCACATTGTTAGTGACTCCAAAGGAGGCAAGAAAGAAAACTATCAAGCCAATCAGTTGGGTACTATGTGAAGCTTTGAAACTACATGAAGCCTGAACTTGTATTTGTATTTTTAGCAGCTTCACAGCTGCTGTTCTGAGGCTCCCTGGGAGCTGTTTGGCCAGGGATGTGCCACTTCTATGCTTCTAGTCCACAGTGTCTGAATCAAAGGATATCTGAGTGACAGTGTTGACATAAGTCAAGCCAGCAGCTTAGAGGACAGGCAAATCTTGGATGAAGCAACAGTCTCTTGGGTATTAAGCAATCTACTTTTTTACTTGAATCTGTGTAAAATGCACTTTTTCCTCTCTTGCTTTCTATAATACACCTGAATGAACAGGCCCATGTTTCCTCCCCAGTCCCTTCATAGCCTTTCAGTAGGCTTGGTTCTCTAAGGTCCTGTCCCTGAAGCTCATGGCTCATTTTCTCAAGTAAGGAGACTGACCTAACCTTGCTTCTACAACAGGCTAGCCCCTCAAATCTGTCACTTCCCCTCCATGGCTTGTCTCTCTCTTTATCTCTTTTGCTCTGTTTCCCAGACAAATTCAGGAACAAATCTGCACAGCTTTACAGAGTCCACTTCCACCACCTGGACTCTTTGTTCTGCCTTTGTCTGTCCTCCACCCTTCTGCTCTCCTTCCTTTGCCAAACAGGACAGCCAGAACTGGTTCTCACTCGGGCTTTGGTTAATCTCCTTGTCAAAAGGAAATAGGACTCCTTTTATTCTGGACCTATAGGACTCCTTTTATTCTGGACCTGACTCCTATGAGGTGCTGCAATCATAACCCCTTGCAGTTCAGTAGATAAATACAAGCTTAAGGCTAAGTATTTAATGACTGACTCATTTCAGGTCTGTGAGGAACCTTACTAGCAGTGCTAGGTACCTGTTTGCAGAGAGATATCCACAAAATATTAGAGATACATAGCAAATTCCACAGAAAGCAGCAACTGTAGACACACATCTCCTTCACAGTCACATCCCGCTTCCAGTCACACCCATTCAATTCCAAAAGGTGAAACTGTGGTGAAAAACTGGAATGTCAATAGATTCACAGGCTCACAGGACTACATGATAATTCAGGTTGGAAGGGACTGCAGGAGGTCAAAGAGTCAACTGTGAGGTCAGACCAGACTGTAAAGGAATTTATCCAATCTGATTTTGAATCCAGGTGAATACAAATTCAGTTTTGGACATACGTAGGTGTAACAGAAAGCACAATACCTCTCTGAATCAAAGTTAAATGCCTAGACAGTATAATAAGCCTTCCACTGTTCTATTTTCCAGTGGAGATCTGACTTTGGTACACTTCTCAGGCTGGGAGCCAGGTTCTTTAGATGACATTGCACAGCATGATGCCTGTTGCTCTGCTTTGCCATGAGCAGAAGGCACTGGTGTGGCATGGTGGAAGTAGTCTCTTGTGGAAGTGATGAATTGTTCACAAGGCAAATTATCACTAGAAGACCACCACTGCATTACTACTTTGGGTTTTTTTCTGGGGTTATATTGGTAAATAGACATGCTGTAACATGGAAAACTAAGAAATACTGACTAAATAACAAAGTCTAGTGATTCTTAAAATGTAAAAGAGAATCAGGGTACTGGACCAGATGCCCTGTGAAACAAGAGTCCTCCCATTTTAAACTATCTTCTGCAAGGTGTTGAAAGAGGTGGTCCAGGCTAGTAATTTATCTAATACCAGGAACCAACAGAAATACTAAAAGTTATGAATGTCCTCTGGGATCAACTGCCTTGATTAATAAAGGACAGTGACCTCCAGCAAGAAGCTCCAATTCAGATCTGCTCTTCCTACACTCCTGTGTTAGTAATACCTCAAGACACATGCTGTTAGTAAAAAGCACATATAACTGGCAGGATTCAGCTACAAATTCAGACACCTAAATTTAGGTGTCTGACTTCAGTGTCTATATGTGCCCTTGTGACTTAATTCAGTCATCTAGATCTTGAGCTTATGATGAAATTCTTGTGGTGGGTTGACTCTGGCTGGATGTGAGTGTCCCACCAAAGCCACTCTATCACTCTCCTTCCTCAGCTGGACAAGGAGAGAAAAATGTAATGAAAAGCACGTGTGTTGAGTTAAAGAAAAGGGGCGATCATTCACCAGATACAGTCATGGGCAAAACAGACTTGACTTGGGGAAAAAATAAATTTTATTTTTTATTAGTCAAATCAGAGTATGATAATGAGAAATAAAACCAAATCTTAAAAATGTCTTCCCCCCACCCCTCCTTTTTTCCTGGGATTAACTTCACTCCTGATTTCTCTACCTGCTCTTCCCCAGCTGTGCAGGGGAGCAGGGAATGGGGGTTGCAGGCATTTCATCACACATCATCTCTGCGGCTCCTTCCTCCTCAGGGGGAGGACTCCTCACACTCTTCCCCTGCTCCATCATGGGATCCCTCCCACAGGAGTCAGTCCTCCACAAACTTTTCCAACGTGAGCCTTTCCCACAAGCTACAGTTCTTCATGAACTGCTGCAGCATGGGTCCTCCATGGAGTCACAAGTCTGACCAGTGTGGGCTCCTCTCTCCATGGGGCCACAGGTTCTTCCAGGACCCTGCTCCAGTGTGGGCTTCCCATGGGGTCACAGCCTCCTTTGGGCATCCATCTGCTCTGGTGTGGGGTCTTTATTGGCCTGCAAGTGGGTATCTGCTCCACTATGGACCTCCAAGGGCTTCAGGTGCACAGCCTGCCTTGCAGTGGGCTTCACCACAGGCTGCAGGGGAATCTCTGCTCCAGAGCCTGGACCACCTCCTCCCCCTCCTTCTTCACTGGTCTGGGTGTCTGCAGAGCTGTTGCTTTCACATATTCTCACATCTCTCTCCAGCTATTAAACTTGCAACCATTACTAAATCTCTTGGATTTGCCATGCACAGCTTTCCCTGATCAGAGAAGTTAAGCGTGAGCAGTTAATCCCTTCTATTTTATCTCATTTATCTTATATGGGAACCTCTTGTATGATTTCTGATCTCACCCAAGTTATTAAATTTCACCGAAGTGCTCCTGCAGTGCACAAATTTGATCTGAATGTAGAGGTTTGCGAGGTTCAGCTATAAGTGAAATTTGGCTAAAAAATTAAAAGGTGTATGAATGACTCTGAAAAATGAGCAGGGAAGAAACTGGGCATTCATGCTTTTCAGCAATGTTATTGATGGTATATTCGTCTCCAGGACATTACCCTGTGCGGGAAAACCACAGCTATGTAATTTCTTAGCTAAAGTGGTAGCCACAAGCCTACTATAACCCTTCCTCCGATGCTCTGGAAGCGTATAACTATGAATCATGGTGGAAAACTGGTCTGTCAGGCTCCAGGAGAGGGGATGCCCATTGTCATCCAAGACACACACACTGGGGAAGCAACAAATGAGGTTAGCAAGGTACTTCTGGCACCTTGAGTTGCCTCCCCGTGACCAGGTTTTGCTGAGCAGGCTGGCGTGGGAGATGTCCAGGTAAGCCAGCGTTAACTTAGGGTCCATCCTAAGAGACAGTACAGAAACTGTATTAGGCAGAATGCTGTGCATCATATTCTCCAAGCAACTGCACTAGATTTACAGCTCTCTTCTCCAGCCAAATATATTTGCAAGTCTGTATCAGAAAGAGGAATCAAAGAGAGCTGAGTTCATTAGGCTGGAAGTTTGGGAATAATTATAGAGGGCAGTGCCTCTCCATTTTAGGTCTTTTTTAATATAAACTGAGTCCACATAACACACTACAAAGGTGCCTTATTCCTTACAAGAAGAGTAGAGAATACATTAAGGAAGGCAGGGAGACCCAGTCACATATTAGGTGACAGAGAAGAGTGGAAAGGATTTTATTTCTAATCTTTCATCTTCCAAGGCTAATAGATTCTCTCTCTATTTTGAATCCACTGCTGAGAAATTTATTCCAGGAAAAATGGGGCCTCTGGTTCCCCTAATCTTCTGCTCTGGTGTCAGATGAATATCTCACCAGCAGAAGGATATTAGAAAGCTTAGAAGGCTTCAAGCAGTTGTGTAAAGCCCTCTTGTGAAAAATGAGCTTTGCAGGAGTCTCAGGTCCAACTATCAAATCTAAGGAGCTTTGACACAGGAAGGTCAAAGGAGATGGAAAACAGACCTGTAGATTCCATGTGTACAAAAAAAGAGGAGGGGATGGAGACTATTCTGGAATATAAAACTGCAAAAATTATAGACTGATTAAAGAAAAATCTTGATGAATATTTAAGGGGAATAGTTCCTTCCCTTTAAGTAATTTAAAGGAATAGTTCCTTCCTTCCCAGGTAATTCCTCAAACAGGTTTTTGAACCAGTCACAGAGAAAGCCTAGCAGTCTTTCTGATATTTTTGATGCAAATGTACTTTTAGGAAATATATTGCTATAGTAAGGACATTGACAAATGACATGATGTGTTTAGACATACTGAAGACTGACATCTGGCAGCGTGTCCGGGTCTGAATGGATAACCATCTGGAAAGATGATGTTTTCACATCTACCTGCTTAGTTAAAGCCACTGTTCTGGATATTTCACATATTCCATTCTGGAGCCCTGTGTTATACAAAGATAAATACTGATGTACTTTTAAAAGAAAGCATTTTAAAAAAAAAAAAAATTAATTCCAATAGTACACTTTCTATCGAACTAGCCAGGTATTTGAAATCTCCAAAATTATTAACTTGGTTGTCTCCACTTAGGCTATAGCTTTACATATGTGAAGGTCAGAAGGCACTACACTTTTCATCTAATCCAGTCACCAGAACAATGAGGACACAGACCCTCTCCAAGTGACTTCTCCCCTATCTAACTACTACCCATAGTTTGAGCCACAGTAAATTACCCAGTTGTAATACAAGGTTTTAAATAATGGAGAAATCACCAATTCCATAAACAAGTTCTTCTACTGATTGATACCCTTCAACATGAAAAACGTGTATATTGCTTCCCATTCAGGTCTTGTCTACATTTAGCTTTCAAACACTGTTTCTCACTAAACCTCTAATAACCACATTAACTACTGCTCAGCTCAGTCTGTATGTATCCTATGGCCAGTAGCAAAAATAAACAGAAATAAACATTCTTCCTGTCAAGGAAATAGCTATTTGAACTTGAAATGGTAACAGTGAATATGATATGGATGAAATTCAAAAGCTAGAAAAGCCATATCCTAGATCTTATATTTTATGTAATTACAGGAAACCTTTCTATAGAGCAGAATGGCAGGGTCTGCACTCCATTAAGACTTCTTAAACCAACTGATTTAGCTATTCTATTTCCTCTAAACCAAGTAAGGCTGGACTGTACCTTGTATCTGAAAAATTTGTCCCCAGTTGATGGCATTTGTGTTTTCCAGTAGCTCCTGGTAAGCTTGTTGCTCCTTGTAGAAAACAGCATGAGCATTGGTATAATGGTCAAGATCATCCATCTCATTCTGGGGAGAAAAAATCTGGAAGAATTAAATATTCTCCCCCTTCCCACACACACATCTTTCACATTGGAATCAAAACTCACTGAAAGCCAACCCCAGAGATTTAACAAATGTTTGGAGCCTCGGGGTGGCTTCTTTTAGGACATTTTCAGTGGTGACTATCAAGCAAGACAGCAGAAATATCTGTTGCTCTCTACAGTGTCATGATAGCAGAAAGCAGTAATGGTAGTGAGTCCTCATGTACCCAAGTCACGGTAACCCAAACCTGGTGGTAGTTTCTTGAAACTCTTGCCTAATTCAAATCTCATCTCTACTACCAGTTGTTCCGAAAACCATGCTGTGTTCTTTGTTTGCCAAGGTCAACATGTTTTAGAACACATCTCTTTTGGTAAACTAAATAGTATCAATGCTTGTTCTCCATCCCTGAGCTGAAATGGCACAGTCTGGCCTCGTCAATACTATTCGTCATGGTTTGAGCCTGGTCTCAGGCTCTCATAGTCTTCGAAAGAGGTTGGAAACTTCCAAACTGCCAGTTGGAGATTTTCCACGTTCTGTGCTGACTTCTGCATCATTGGCCTAGGAGAGCTGGTTGTCCCAGAGAACATGCCAAAGATTTAACTGCACGGGCAGTACTTGTAGTACCTCATATGAGACTAAAACAACAAGATCTTGTCTCCTAGCCTGGAGACACAAATCCATGCAACTCAGAGATTGCTTTAGCATGGTGGATAGAAGGTCTTGAGGCAATGCCCCCTCCAAGGATCTTTTTAGCACTGCCTGTTATGGAATAAAAGATTGCAAAAGGACCCTTCTTTCACCTTGTAGCCACATCTGCCCCATCACAAGCTCACTGAGGCTTTTTTTTTTTTTTCTGACTGCATGAAGACTAGAGAGACCAAAGAGTCCTAGGAAAGTCTGATCTAGTGGCATGAGTGCAGGTAAAATGTGTCTCTGCATTAGCTATGCAAGTTATTCTTTAGCCAGTGCAAACAGAATAATTACAATCAATTAGAGCATGTTCTTCATAGGTAAGCTTGGTTAGGCTATAACTAATAGGCAGAATGTTTCAGGAAAGAGCAGTGCTCCCTTTAGTGGCTCTGTGTTGACATCTACTGGGATGTTCTATTGCACTTTACAGTTCCTACCCATCCCTGTTATGTTTTCCAGATAAAGCTAGCCGCACCCACAAAGCTCTCTGAAAACTGAGAGGAAGGCCTCAGTCATGCTGGATCCACCTCAGAAACGAAGATAACAACCCATGACAAATCTACCTCCCTCTGCAGCCGGGTGATAACAGCTTTGAAGTCTGGCCATGAGTCCACCACCACTTCCTTCCTGAAGGGATTCCCTCGGTTGATGTTCATCACAGCTCCATAAACCTGCAGGATAAACAGCCAAGAGAAGAAAGACAGTTTGAGACACGCTAACGTGGTACATGTGTTATAAATCAGAGACTGAACCAGTGACATGGAGCTGGAAGCACACATTTAGGTTTTCATACATACGCAGATATTTATCATATAGGTTGATACCTACACACTCACCAGTAAGACATTATCATGAAGATAAACCATTGTCTACTTAAGTCAACCCTAATCACTTTGGAGAGGAGGTGGACTGGTTTGCTTCTTTCTTTTCTTAAGTATGTAGATTTGGGTTAGTAAGCAGGGTCAAATGGATTTCTCAGATGTAGTCATCTAAACAGCAAATATCAGTCAGTCCAGAACAAGCACAACCTTCTCCCCACAGCTTTGATTCCCTGACAAATGTTCTGATTCACCGATAGAAGTATCACAGAAAATGAAATGTCAGCACTGTGTTACCTTGAGGGACTCGGGGAAATTCCACCTTAACATTTTCTCCAGCATCTGCAGCTTCATGGAGCAGTTGAGCACCAGCATCTTCCTTTCTGGGAACACACACAAGGTATAAAGGGTCACTCAGAAAAGCAATAATGTGGAGGAACTAAGTGGCATAATTGCCAATTTCATAAAATACAATCACTCCCACAAGTGTCTCATTTCAGCATTTTCCTATGGAAAACATTTTGGAAATATATTTTTTTTTTTCAATAGATGGATATGCAGAGAGCAGCAAGATGGGATGGTGTTTGGCAGACGAAGCTAGAGTCAGAAAATCCTGAGCTTATTTTGTTATTCTACACCAGGTTTCTTGTACAACAACAGGCAGGTCACTTACTTACAGATAGGTTAAAAAACAGGGTTTTCTGGTGTCTGCCCCAAAAAATCATGTTAGTTTTTGCTTGTAAAAACTGTAAAAATAAATTCTTATCACCACATTCTTTAAGCCTAGATATGACTGACCTCTCTTATTGGTTAATAGCAAGTAATTTGTACTATGTTAATTCAGCCTTAAACTTTTTAGGCTATGATTTTGGACAGTTCATCCCCCAGGGTAACTTCTTCAGCAGAAGAGTTACTGCAAGAATATCAGCCGCAGATCTTATTAGGGAAACAGCTGTCTTGCCTTCACATTTTTTTTTTATTTCCACCTTTGCTGTAAATCCAAATTAGCCTGTCCAAAATAACATAGTTACAGTCTGTCAAAAAAAGAAATCAACATCCCCTCAAAAAAAAAAACAAAAAAACAAAAACAAACAAAACCCAAGAAGCAATGAAACTGTATCTTCACTTCAAAAGCCCAAGGGAAGGATTCAAACCCTAAGGTTTCGCAAATAGAAAGTACCTGCATGCTACAAATGTTGAATGGTCTTAGCACTGACAACTTATTTTGTCAGCACTGTATATTAACCTTATAGTTGATCTACTGCAAGGAGTCTTTCTACAATCAGTGTTATCACTGGTCTGGAACCCACAGAAAAAGTCTTCTATTCACTTATTCTTAATACAATGTGCCAATCTGGCCATTTTCTTATTTTGTTTAATTCTACAGATTGCACAGCATGCCTTTTTTTCTAAATGCTTTTGCATCTCATAACTTGAATCTTCCATCCAAGCTATGTTCAGGTTTCAAACATTTAGTAGGTTTCCAGGTGACAAGGCTTTTTTTAACAGAGAACCAACATAATAATCAGTACTAATTGCCTCTTGTTGTCTTCAGCAGACAGATTAAAGGTTGAATAAACCATAGCATTAAGCAACACACTTGCACAGGCAATCTGCTCCCCAGGTCAGGGTAGAGATACGTAACCAGAGCAAGATAGTGAAGCTCAGGCTGCCCCACTAAGAGACCTGTGCCTTAGATAGGAAAATATCTTCCAGCACCCATGTGATCCACCATCAATCTCTATTCCTCCCCTTGTTCCTTTCTTGCTTCACCAAACATAAAAAGTAAAAAAAACAAAAATAGCCCATTCTATGATCGCATGTACATATTTACCTTTCTTGAAGCTTATACTCCATTTTCTCACCATTTTCAAGGGGAAAATTGCCTCCATCACAGAACATCAGTATACATGCAACTATATCTAAAGGCAGTGTTGATATGTGTTTGAATACACAGCTACTTTTACTTAAGGACAGTTCTAACATATATCTGCCTGGCAGTGATTTCAGATTGAAAACAAATTTTGCACCAATAGACCACCTGATTGATCACTTACCAGTTTTCAGGCTCATAGCTCATCCTTCCAACACGCAGTGATAAACTCGAAGCTAGGAGACAACAAAATGCATCCACTTTGTGTCTGCTTCTGCATGAGGAATGACGGAAGTCCTTATCCAGAATCTTAAAACTATAATTTTATTGATCTGGATTGTTCTAAACTGGTATACTGTTCCTAAAATCTTTATGCTTTCTTTTGGGGAACATGGAAATAAAACCCAGAGCCAGCCACACCTTCCAAGGAGGGACTCTGTGAGGATAGTTAATGAAGTGTCAAAAGGCTTGTTCAAGAGTATAGGCTCCAACAAGAACCTTTAATTCTTTCATTAAGTCATTTAATCTCTTTGCATTCATACCGGTGAATGATCTACTCTGCACAAGCTTATAATTATCTGTTTTATTCTCAGTGGTACTGAAATTAGTCAATCTACATTCTCAGTGCCAAGCTTCCTACCACAAGAGCATTAAGATCCTGAGATAAACTGCAACACATTCTGCCAGACAAAAACCATCCCAGCTAAGCAGCCCTAAGCAGCATTTGGAGCTGGCAGCCCTGTTCACCCTTTGCCTTATTTTTCAGTTGTCCCCATCACTCCAGTTTGATGATGTTAACCCATATTGTCCTTTTGATTTAGACTTGATAATCTATAGCACAAGGCAGAAGAGGCAATAGAGAAGGAATGTTGAAGTGCTATGGAGAGCACATGCAGAAAGATGTTTTAGTTGAACATGACAAATGGTTGATACAAGATAGATTGATATTCCTGCTATATCTTAAGAAATCCATGGCTCGTAACTTACCTGCTGGAAGCCGAGGTCTGTGAAACTGGTCTCAGATGCTCCCAGGTCAAATCACGGAAGTTCACAGCTCCACAAACACTGATCAACAGTGAACCTTCTCCTAGAAGGGTTCTTTAATTTCATCAGAAACCACAATCATATCATTCTGCAACTCTGCCCCAGGGTATCCACCATCAAAATAGTTGAGCCAAGAACCACCTCCCGAAAGCCTGGATTTATGTTCCTCTTCTATGTTGTCCTGTTCGTATGTGCACGACAACCCGAAAGTAACAACATCCACAAGCCTGCCAGACTATCATAAATCACCCAGTACTGGGGAAAAAAAAAAAAAAAAAAAAAAAAGGCTTGCTTCTGTAACTATCTGGCCCTGTAATGCAGCACCTCCATTGCTAGTGACCACTTTGCACTGTGTTTACAAGGCCTCAGGATTGAGGCTCTTTTTGAATGTTTTACTTAGCTGTGTAATTTAGCATTTCCACTAATTGACCAGGTGTCTGTGAATACTTATTTTTGTTATCGTTGTATGGTACAACCAGAGTTTTATACAGCTAGCAGTAACAAGCAGTTATTTTATGTCAAAGGAGATATTTATGACTAATATAATGACGCAGTACAGAGAAATACAGGCAGGGTATGATAGCAGAGGCCTTCGGAAATGGTAGATAGGGGACATGGTGCAGAGAAGAAGAGGTATGAGGTGATAAGCCATAGTACACAGGAGAGCGATGAGGATGACAAGAGATGAGGCTTGGCATGGGAGACCCCTCAGCTACAAAGAACTCACCAACAATCAGCTCAGGAAATAAAGACTCAGAGCTGGACAAAACTGGTTTTAGGAGTAACAAAGAAATAGCATTTAACATACATAAAAAGCATTACATGCTCCCTTGCAAGGAGTGTGTCCTCTTTGCATTTAAACAGTGTTTTGAGCGCAACACATTGCAGTCTCAACAACTAGATTTAAAGAAAGGGAGGAGACAACAAATCTCTATTCCAGGAGCTGACCACATAGGAATAAATGCAAAAGGTCTTGTGACTATAGCCTTTCTTGGGGAAACACAAGAAATGCTGCAAAAAGGTAAGAAAAAGTTGACCCTCCTTCAGTACCCTGTCTTTCAGTGTCAGCAGGTATGATCAAAAGTGCATCCACAATGTATCACCACCTTGTCCAAACCATTCAATTGTCTCTGATGGACACATGCTTCATATATTTGTTTACTTCTTTTTCACACCTATTTGTACATTTTGGCTTACACAACCTTCAGGCACTAAGAACTTGCTGCCTAGCCATAACATTGGCTACTGCTGCATTCCTATGTTGTAAAAAGTAGTGTGACCAATCCCTACTCAAGGCTTTCATAAAATGTTTTACATCTTATTATTTCCTTCTTCAGTTACTGCTATTTCAACTTTCCTTGTATGGAAACTATATCATATCTCTGACTCCTATTTACTGCCTTTCTCTATGTTATTTTTTTTTTTTAGAAAAACAGTATCTATGTGGTTCATGAAGTTCAAAACCAGCATAGTAAATTGCTCCCAAGTAGATCACCCTTAATGAAAGCAAAGGAGTATTTCTTTACTTAACAAAAATTAAGATACCTGCATGCAGGAAAATCACTAACCCATTATCTGGATTAAATTACTTTGGGGTTGTAGTTATATCAGTAAGCGCCTCCCTGGTCAAGGGTTCAAAAATTTGAGAAATATTTCTAATTATGTATATACTTTTCCATGTGATTCAGTTTAAAGCAAGCAAGTACTTAGTCTGGTTTTCCTACATGTAGCAACCACATCAAGGCTTTTAATCTCTCATAGGAGAATAGAGATAATGTCTCTAGCTCATGTCTCATTAAGAGTACCAGCAATTTGTAAACAAAAGAACAAGTGTTTGTGTGGTAAGTCAATGTAAAGAGCACTGCTGTTTTCCAGCAGGTAATCTGACTGGAGAAAGAACATGACAGTGACTGAATCTTTTGAGGGAAAAGCTCCATCATGCAAAAATAGAGGAGAGATGGAAGTGCATGGAAAATAGATTTTTGACTTAATTTTCCTCCTCTGAAGCTGAAGAATATCTGACAGTTAATGATATATAAAGTGAGTACACAAGTCTCAGAGCTTTGCTCTACATTCTTAGCTGCTTTCCCCAACCATCTGGATAAACCAGGTGTGAATGTCTTTTTTTTATGCAGTGATTCTGAAACAGTATAAAAAAATCCTGTACATTTCACAAAAATCATTCCATTTCCTGACCTGGAGGATTTTACTTAAAAATGGTAAGGAAGTTAAACAGAGGATTTGCAACTGAGCATTAGATAATCATATTTTTACCATGTGTTTCAGGTCTAAAGAAGATGTAACTTCAAAGCAAAAGTTGGTTTGGCAAGATATTGCCTTCACTGATTTAGAGAGGTGATATAGAAGTCCAAATATAGTGGAATAGGTGTTTTGCCAATTGACGGGGTTAACACAAAGGACACAGACACCAAGCTAAAGAAATAGGCTTATTTTGCTTTAGCTTAAAGCAGCAGAAAGAATGAGCAAGGTAATGCACCTAGTCATTGCTACATAAAGCTGGCTATAGTGATTAAGAAAGATCCATCACCAATTGCCCTCCTACTTTACCATCATCCCGACCCGTGCATCAGCTGGGGAGCCCCGTCACAGAGAAGGGTCAGAGAGCCTTTCCTGGCAGCTAGGAAGTCTCACACAGTGCATCCACTCGTAGGTGAGGTCTCTGTCTGTGCTGTGAGAGGGTCTGGCTTTTATACAGTTTAACAAACAAGTCTATACAAAATGCACAGGAGATATCTGGTAGATTGATATGCCTCACTCAGGCATGTCCGGATCTGGCCAGGATCCGGGCATGTCTGAGGAGTTTCTGTTTTTCTTTACATTTGGGATTTATAGTTACTTCCTATTGTTTACTTATAGTTCCCAGGGTTGCATTTTCACACTGATAAGATGCTGGTTGCTCCATGCTGTTTATATGTTGGTTGCTGGTCGGGGGATTCACTCAGAAGTCAACCTTGGTTTGAGGCCTATTGTTTGGGCCTTTTTTGTTTCAATAGGTTGTCTTGTTCTATAAAATTGTCCAAAAAAACCCAGGATCTATTTCCCTCCCTTCTACTAAGATAGTATAGATCATCATTAGAAGTCCTCACAGGTCTAGAAAAACAAAACCCCTTGATTGACCACTTAAATCACTAGAATCCCAGAATGCATCTACAGATTTATATAATAATACTCGTAGAAAATGTTTTAACAGAAATTCAGCAGTCACAACAGTAAAGCCATTAGGAAGAGAATAGTTTCCATGACCAGCATCTTGCTGCTCTACATTAACAGAGTGCTGGCCTAGGTTATGTTCTTCAAAGGAGACTCCATATACTTTGGTTTCTCAGAGGAAGTCCACCTTCTCGTAGGTCTTTTCAATGAGGGTTAACATGTTCTTCAAGTCAGCTGACTGCTGAATAGTGTTCATATCCTTTAAAAGACCTTTCTGATTTTTTATCTTCAAAATTTCATCCTAAAGAAGGAAAGAAAGAATAACAGACAACAAATAAAAACCAGTTTTCACTGAGTCCAATAGCAATTTAACCCTCATGCAGCCTAGCTGTACCTAAATACAGCTAAAACAAAGATTTGAAGACACAGATTGAGACAGTCTTCCTTCCATCAGAGATACATTTCAGAAATTATTACAGGTTCCCTAGGATTATAGGGTTCCTAAGGAAAGACATGTGATCTTTTAAATGGCAGGTTTTCTAGTGTTTTGTTCTGTTTTTTAAATGTAAGTATATAGTTCTCAATGCAAAGAAAAAAAGAAAGAAAAAAAGAAAACTTTCAGATATTTCAGAATTTTCAGTATTGCCCACTCTAGCAAAGATTACGTGATAAAAGCACATTCTGTTGCCTTCCTTTTCATATCCAAGATGCCTCTGAAAATATATTCCATGCTCACCTGCAAAGTGGGTGCCTGTAAACTGCACCTGGGGAGTTCTGGAAGGTGGAGTACTCCACTGCCCTTTTCCTGGAATACCTTAGAAAGGGATAAAGAAAAAATAATCCAAAACCAAACATCAGGCAGACAAGTAGGAAAATAAACTGGTTGTTATTATATGACTTCTGAAAACTAAGCTTCTTAATTTTGCAAGTGAAGTTGGAAAGACTGAAAATATACATTCCCAAGGGTAAATAAGGACTTCCTTATATGACACTCTCTGCAGAAACAGCTTGTCTGGGATAGCTCTGGAAGATGGCCCGTTCCTCTATCCTAGAGCAGTGAAGCAACATCTGTTCGAAATACCTTCTTGGCCTTATTTTCATCTTCCTCTAACTTGTTCTTGAGCACCTTAATTTTGTACTGCAGTTGCAGTATAGTTTCTTCAATGCGTTCTGCTGATCGCTCAGCTTCATTTATTTCTTCCTAAGACAAAATAGACACAAAAAACAAAGTTTACTTTAGCCTTTTGTGAATAAGATACTGATAATCAGCATCAGCCAAGTCACTTAAAAACCATCCAAAAATATACATTGCTTTGTAGCAAAGGTAGGTGACAATGATGACAGTGAACAACTTGTCCACAACAGCACAAGCATAGCCCACAGTCCGTCTACTAAAAAGTTACGGCACACTGAGCAGCAACAGACAGGTAAGATATTTTCTTCCCTTCCTTGTCTTTCATACCTGCAACTGTACCAAAGTCTCTTCATTTGTCTCAAGCACTTGTTTCTCTGCCATTTGAAGGCTTGAGACCTTCTTCAGGTTGCCCAGCATCCCTGGAGGCACCTTTAAAGTCTTGAAAAATCTCAGCACCCTTTATTATAGAAAAATGAAAGCATAATTTGTTTGGAGTTCTTTGCAAAACTGAAAGAAAATTGACTAAATGGCTTCTCTGGGGGAAAACTAAACTCAGTTTAGCCCAGTTGCTGCCAGTGAAGTAAAAGGATCCAGGCAGGAAGAAAAGTTGTCTTGAATTGCTTTCCAAAATCATGTGGAATAGTTGGCTAAGGAAGGAACCAGGAACAAGAAATCCCACCATTCTACCTTTTGCTACTAGACTGATATTGTGTGGTTTCTATCCCATTGGTCTGTATACTCCCTGACTGTAAATACACATTAACTAATATTTTCCCAGTTCTGACCTTTCTGCTTTTCAAAGTAAAATTAAGTTCTAAACCCAGCATGTTTAACTGCTTCCAAACAAAGATAATTTTAGTAAATCTGTAAATGCTTTTCTGAAACATGATATATAGCTTTATGTCAGAGGAAAAGTTTTAGCTTGGTCTCAAAGGTCCTTCTGATTCTGAGGAAGACTTGGATTCTTCCATGTTGGATCTGTCTGTTAGATACACCGAACTGCCACAACTTCCATGCATCTCAGATGAGAATGCAGGAGCTTTGACAATTCAGAAATTAAACACCTCACAAAGTAAACACTAAAAAGAAAAAAAAAAAAAAAAAAGGAAATAATTTATGAAAAACTAGCTCTTCATATTTGAAACTTGAGGTACTGTAAAAACAAAGAAAGCAACATACATGCTCAGGCTCTATGTTGATAAGAACCTGGTATACCGACACACATGCACACAACACTCAAGTGTACATAATTACTCCAACAATAACATAAAAAGGCTACAAGTTATGACCCAACACAAAATTTCGATTCCTTCTGAAGTAACTTTAACCGTCAGAAAATGAATTATCATTTAAGAAAATCCAGCTATAACTGCTCCTGCCATTATCATAAAATTATAGCAAAATAAATAGCTGCTCACAAATTTAAACCCTGTATAAAGAGCAACAAGCTGATTCAAGGAGCTGTTAAGAATACCTCATAGGAACTGTTACTCATATAGAAGTAGTTAAAGTGAATCTTTCAACAACTCTTGCTCGTCCACTTCAATCAACATATCGTCAAGATATTTCCCTCCTTGATTTTGCATCAAATCTCCCTTCTAAGATTTCCTAAATGTGATCGTTCCCAGAAGCAATTTTGTAAGCGTGGTACAAAACAACTGGGTAAACTAAATCTCTTCTCCTCTATTTATTTTTTTTAATTATAATTTTTTACCTTTCTTTCAGTAAATACAGGTCCTTCTGAACATTATCTTTTCTTTCACGTTGTTGGTACAAAACAGATCTGGAAAGAAAATAAAGGCAGAATTTTAATCAGAAAGCCTGCAAGCACAGAGAACACATCAAGTGAAGTGAACATAGTCAGAACTTCCCTAGCTAAAAATGTCCAGCTTGAGATAGAAAGTGTTGTATTATACTGGACAAAAATATACGCAGCCAGCCATATTGCCCAAAAAAGCTCCACAGCTTTTCCAGTTCAAGCAGTATTATGATTTTTACTTTATTCATTGTGGAAACAAACAAGAACCACCTGGATATTTGGCACTTACAGTATTACCGAATCCATTACAGTTTCCAGAAACTGCTTACTGCTCTCAGAGAGAATCTGCCAAGATCTTGTTTTAGCACTGGTTAACTTCATCTTTTTTGAAGACATTTTGTCTCCTTTTAACAGAAAGGAAAAAAGGAAAAGATATGATTTGTCAAACCTGGATAGACTGCTTTGTGACTCAATTCAGTCAGACTGTAGTCAAAGGTGTAACACTTTAAGATTTTTAACTGTCACAAAACTATCAGGTGAAGTCCATCCACACTACGTGGTACTTATTTTTGGCAAGTTACAAATGGTTTAAAAATCACAAAATAGAAAAGGTTCTTTCTGCCAGCAGTTTCATTCTAAACAGATACTTTCCCAAAACCATTGGCAATACAAGGGAAAAAAAAAACAGAATGAAATAAAAAAAAGAGCGGGAATATACATAAGAAAAATGCTCAATGTGGCAGGGGTCTCATCTCATTTGTGTGATCAATACAACACATGCCAGCCTTAAGACAGAAGGTTAAGAGAAAAGACAATGACCTGTGAAGAGAAAGTTAAAGTGTTATGCATGCTTGTGGTGGAATTTTACAAGAGAAGAACACTACTTGCAAATAAATGTCTGTGATTAACATGTGCATATACAACACAATATAATGTGAACACATACTGGCTAAGACTGTGCTGCAAATACTTGCTTTTACTATTCAGGAGGAAAACTTTGAAACTTAGTGACATCTCAGACATCTATGATTTCAACACAGCAGTTACTACTTATACTTTCAGTGTTTTGAAAAAACACTGAATTTGTGCAAGACAAACATAAGGAAAGAATACAATCCTACCTGCAGCAGAATAGTCCCCGTGTTCCTCAGCTTTTCTTTTGACTGTCTGAGTGACCTGCTGAAGAGAAGATTTACAGCAAAAATGGTAATTTTGAAACATCCTGGGCTGTGCAACCATTCATCTACTACTAGCAACCCACTATAAAAAGGCTGAGAAAACATGTTAGTGCTTGACAGAGGTCTACTGATGCTGACCACAAAATAGGCTTTTTGAACTGTGAAACAGTAATTCATCTCAAGGATGCCAAGGAAAGCAAGTCACTCATCTTAATTCCTCTCATTCCAAGAGGTCATGAAATCAGAAATTCAGAAGATGTTTGGCTATCCTGTTAGACCTCGAGTTCATGCTGTTCATAAGTTCAGTGGTTAAGCAAGCTCTCTCTGACTGAAAACTGCCTAGGCCGATGCTGAGACATGCAGAGAATATTTTCCAGAACTGAATAAACACCACCTGAGCTGAATGAACAGCTGACTTTATCACTCTGTTCAAACAGATGCTGTGCAGTTCTTCAAAACTGCACAGCCAGCTTGTCTTTTTATTCATGATGAGGCAATGCTTCCCTCTACTTGTCACAGGCACAGAAGCATGCAACTAGAAATTCTGGAAATCTGGGTGCAGCTATGGCAGCAGGTCTCAAAAGAGCTGTTCACACTAGACATTTCCTCAAGAGGACATTTAGTTAATGAAATATTCTTTATAAATTCCAGTTACAAACTGGGCAAAATGGACTCTCCTTTTTCCCTTGGTTACTTTTCTAATTTGTTTGATCCAAAATAATTATTACCTTTCTGTTTTGATCTTGTTTTCTTCCTTTTCCATCTGTTCCTTTTTTTTGGCTGGAAGGCCCTTGCTGATTTTGTGATTTAAACATTTTTTTTGCTGATGCCCCACCAGTGGTCTCCTCTATTTTACTGGAAAATTTCCTGTGACATTTCATTATCTGTAAACTAATGGAACAGGAGGAAACAAAAACAAAATTTAAATCCAGCAATTATAGCTCCATATAGTACAAACCACACATTAATAAAGAAAATGACAGGAAATACCCAGTGCTAAATGAGCCCAAATGTTTGAGTATTTGCTAACCCAAAGTCCTAAATCTTCCATATTTATCTAAGTGCAGGACCACTAAAAAAGCATCCCCATTTGCCTTTTAGACAAGTCTTCGCATGTTCCACATCACTTTCTAAACTCAAAAGCCAGCATGTCTGTACACCAAAGAGCATCAATGGCAATGCAACTGGTAACTACACTGAGAACAGTCTAATTTGTTCTTAAAGGCCTCCAACAGTAGAAAATCTTTATCTTTCTAATGCAGTCCAGTTCAGTCATCTTATTACCAGAACTTTTTACCTTAAGCACCTAACCATGTTCCTTGCTGCAGCTTAAACTCATAGGTTCTTTCCTTACCCACTATAGAGATGGAGGAAAAAGAAGTCACACAGAAGACTGTAATCATTACACCCCAGTAGCCTTCTCCTTTCTAAGCATAACTAAGATGTATGCAGTTTTTAATTCAGCCCCTCAGGTCACATCAAAAAGACGAGGGGTAACTGGATACAAGTTACTCCTGAGGAGATTCAGGCAGAACACAAGAGGAAAATGTTTCACAATGAGAACAGTCAGCTACTGTAATATTCTCCCCAGGGAAGTGGTGGATTCCTCAACATTGGACACTTTTAAGATTCAGCTGGACAGCGTGCTGGGCCATCTTGTCCAGACCGTGCTTTTGCCAAGAAAGGTTGGCCCAGATCATCCTTGAGGTCCCTTCCAACCTGGTATTCTATGATCTTCCCTCACGCAGAGGATCGCCAGACCACAGTCGCGATCCCCACCAGGTAAACAAGCCCTCCCTCTGCCCGCTCCAGTAACTGCTCGTTTTGCGGGGCAACATTCGCTGAGTACCTCAGGAGGAGCCACGGACTACAACTCCCGGCATGCAACGGTGCCCGTCACTGCGGCGGCACACGCCTACCGAGCGAAAATGCATGCCTGGGAGTTGGAGTCTTCAACACCCATTCACCATTCGCCCTTCACCCTCTCCCTCCCCGCTCAATACTCCCAAACTCCCGCTCCCCCTTACTGCGGCTTAACACTACACCACCACCACCCCACCACCACCCCACCACCACCACCCCACCCCACCCCACCCCCCACCCCCCACCCCACCCCCACCCCCCACCACCCCCACCACCACCCCCCCCCCCCCCCCCCCCCCCCCCCCCCCCACCACCACCACCACCACCACCACCACCACCACCACCACCACCACCACCACCACCACCACCACCACCACCACCACCACCACCACCACCACCACCACCACCACCACCACCACCACCACCACCACCACCACCACCACCACCACCACCACCACCACCACCACCACCACCACCTCTCTTCCTCCCCCTCATCCCGCCCGGAGACTCACCACCCCAGCGCCTACCTCCACGCTCCCCGCGTTAAACCGCCGAGCCCTTAACAAACCGTTTTCCCCGCGCAACCGGACGCATGCGCACTCCCCACAACCGGGGAGGGCTGAGGGGCGGCCCTGTGCGCCTGCGCAATGGCCAGAGTGGGACCGGCGGCGGGGCCGGCGGCAGGTACAGGGGCTTGCCCGGGCCCGCGGCCCGCAGCCTGCCCAACGCTCCCGTCCCTCGGTGGGGAAGGGCCGCGACCCCCCCGGGACAGCCCCCCCAGACCAGCCCCCCCGTCCCCGTTGGCAGCCAAGGGGGCGGGTGGCGGTGGCGGTGGGCGGTGGCGGGTGGCTGCTGGGCGCTGCGCGCAGCCGGGCCTGTCAGGGCGGTGTGGGGCTGTGGGGCTGCCGGGCCGGGGAACGGTGTTTTCTGCTCCTCGCCTCGCGTCGCTTCGGCCATGGGTGCTGTGGTGTGAGGTGGCGGGGGGGGAGAGGTGCGGCGGAGGGTGACAAGCCTGCTTTGTGGTTCTTTGGGACGCAGCAGTGGAGGCCGAGGTTGCCTTCCACCCTGGGTACGGGATCACGTCTGTGCAGGGAGCTGGGCGCCTCTCTAGTGCCCCTCTGTGCTCAGTCTATTATATATACACTACATGTACAATCTATATTATTAAAGCGCGTGTGTGGAGCATGTTGCTGCAGCACCGTAACACTGGCAGAGCTGCTTCTCAGTTTTATTCATACTGTTTCATAAAGGTGTCAGGGAAGCAAGTGTTTCCAGGGAGTTGGGAAGGAGATGAGGCAGAGGGGAGGTGGCTAGCCCTCGGAGCCAAGCTGTAAAGGTTTTTCTTGGGGAGAAAGACCAGGGGTAGGGTACAGAAAGCAGAAGCAGAGGAGCTTACAGCTTTCAGGACTCAATGGATTTATCCATCGTCTCAACCTCATGCATGGTGAGACAATCTCCACAACTCGTATTATCCCTGTGTCCTTGCATATCATGCTTTTATTCCCCTCTCTTTCATCCAGCCCAAGCCGTCTTTTCCTTTTCTGACAGTCTACTTCCTTCAGATCTCTTTGTTGTTGAGCATCCCTCTGCCATTAAGGAATTTGTAGATGAGAGAGATGGGAAGGTGGGGAGGTAGCTAGGATGCCATCTTCATTCTTGACAATTGAATTTTCAGTGACTGATTAATGATGGTGCTGCTTAGGGACTGAAATAAGTTACACGTTTCATAGGTGGATGTAGATGAGTTGTAGGAATGTTTTCCTTAGCTAAAGGAAAATGTAGTATTTTTCCTGAAATTTGTTTTATGCACTCTCTGGTTGAAAGGCAAGGGGCGGGGATGTCTATCAAATGAGTAAGTGAATAAATACACATAGTTTTTTCCTGAGTAACTGTTTTTGCTTTAGGAAGCTGCTTGACTTCTTCATGCTCTCTTCCATGTGTCGGATTTATACAATAATGCAAAATATTTGGTTTTATTTTCTTCAGTTTACCCCATAGTCTCCAACCAGTGGGGCAGACATGCTCAGAACCAAGGATGCTCTCCTGCGCCTGTGGCCCCACCACCTCACGTGCCTGGCACAACTTCCAGCCCACCAGCTTGCACGATGTTCACTGCATGGGCAGCCACTGCACCCCGAGTGGGCTGCCCTGGCTGAAAAGCAGCTGAAAGGCAAGAATCCAAAGGATTTAATTTGGCACACCCCAGAGGGGATCGACATCAAGCCCTTATACTCCAAAAGGGACACTAAAGACCTCCCTGAGGAGCTGCCAGGGGTGAAACCTTTCACTCGAGGACCCTACCCAACCATGTACACGTACAGGCCATGGACTATTCGCCAGTATGCTGGCTTCAGTACAGTGGAGGAGAGCAATAAGTTCTACAAGGACAACATTAAAGGTAAAACAGCTGATTTGGGAAACAGCATTGCCTTGTAAAGCAATGGGGAACATTCATATGGTGAATTACATGGCAAACGTGGTTATTCCACCTTGGCAGTTTTGGTTTCTAATAGGATCTTCCCAGTGGTGCTGTATTTCTTTATTACTGGGAAATTGGATAATTTCTGAAACTGCCTTTGCTTTCTTTTGCTATTGAGGTGGAAGAATGAATGTGTGAAATGCACCTTTTAGTTATTCTACCTTAACACTTAGAGAGGCATCATTTGGCTGCATCCCAGGGTCCAACCAGCAGAGATCATATATCCCTTTACACTCATTTTGTGATCATGAGAGAAGGTTGTAGTGGAAAAAAATTACTAACTTTGTCCCTTAGCTGAACTTTTGGCGTTAGTGCATTCTGACATTCTGGGTTTCCATCTCATATTGTTAATTTTAAATTAATTTATAAAATCATATGAATAGCGTTATTCATGTTGTATTAGTAAAGCCAGCTTCCTAAAAGTATTTATATTTTCCTTATTTGAGACAGGTTTTCCCTGTGTTTCTGCAGGAGTATTGTACTTTGCAGCAATTTGTTTAGCTAATAGCCAGAACTTCATCACAGTATACTATTGAGTTAGGCATCGTAAAACCACTACTAAAAGTTGTTCTGGATAGACTGAAGCTTTAGTTTTACACCAGCCATACATTTTAGCAGTTTGAAGCTAATTATAACCTTGCCAGTCAAAACATCAGACCACTGAAAGTCACCTTTTGAGTAATAAATCTGCAAGACTCTTTTTTTCCCACTTTACAGTCCCTCCTACTCAAAACATAACTGTTTAAGGTGGGGGGGAGGAGCTGTTTGGGGATTTTTACCTCTTGCAATATCATGTTTAGCTAATATGAAGCAATATTAGCTGCTGCAATATCCTTGCAAGTAGTCTTGATTATTTCCATTTATAAAACTCTCAGTACATTAGTAAGTTATAAATACAGGGTATTAGAGGTTTGCAGACAAACATTTAAATAGAAGGATTGTTCTGAGTATACTCTGCTTTACTGCTGAATGTTGCTGCTGAAACAGAAGTGCTAACACTTGGGTTAGCTGGTAGCACAGCTCAGTTACTCAAGAATGTGTGCTGCCAGGCATTTTTCATCGTTATTCAAGTTTTGACATTGTAGTATTGTAATTTTGTCTTGTTCTGTTAATGGTTGTATTAATATTGAATTATTTAACATAGATTCTCAGTCTTAGGTATTTGTAAAACATTTTTGATAATTCAATTAAATAACTATTTAGAAGAATGTTAACAAATAATTATCAGTTCTCATAATTGATGACATTTCTATTGCTTGAAACTAGGCAGAAATTTAAATTTTTGACACTGTGTTTCAGAGCTAACACCTAGCTTTTTAGATCAAAGACAAGAGCTCTGTTGATGTTGGGAAGTGGATTCACAAATGCAGTAAATAGAGTTACTTCAGGAGCAGCAGTGCTGGCCAGAGGGTGAATGCCTGAGGGCAGCAGAGTTTTGGGTACTGCTTTCAGGTTGCAGCAACAGGTCTGCCAAGAGCTCTAACTGTCCTGTTCCCTGCTTTATATGAATAATTTTCTCCTACTGCACATTTAGTAATGTACCACTTCACAAATAAACAGTGTATATCACAAGAGCCAGGGTAACAATCCACGTGTGTGTTTAATTTGTGATAAAGAGAAGGTAACATGATATAGTTTATCACACTTTTGTTTCCTTGTTTCCAGCTAAGATAAGTAGAATTTCTGCATATAAGCCCTGATACTGTCTGTCAATGCACATTTATAACTTGTGGCTAAACTGTTATTCAGTAATTTGTTAAGCACAGTAAGCTAATTGTGTGGCTGAGCTAGGAGGACTGCAATATTTTTTCTTCTCAGTTAATAGCTTTTTCGTTTAAAGTTTAAGACTAGAAGACCTCGGACAAGTTTGGAGAGGGAACAGTGTTTAACATCTAAAATCGGTTTCAAGCCTGGATCATGTAAAATAAAATTAATAAATTTAGGTCCAGTTCTGATGAAAGTCTGTTCAACACTTCTGAATCTCTCTCTTTGTTGTTTTTGGTTTTGTTTTGTTTTTTTCTTTTTTTCTTCTTTATGTAGCTGGCCAGCAGGGATTATCTGTTGCTTTTGATTTAGCCACCCACCGTGGTTATGATTCAGATAATCCACGAGTGCGAGGAGATGTTGGAATGGCTGGAGTTGCCATTGATACAGTGGAAGACACCAAAATCCTTTTTGATGGAATTCCTTTAGAGAAAATGTCAGTTTCTATGACAATGAACGGGGCAGTCATTCCCGTGTTGGCAACATTCATTGTCACTGGAGAAGAACAGGGAGTGCCTCAGGCCAAGCTGACAGGGACAATCCAAAATGACATCTTGAAGGAGTTCATGGTCCGAAATACATACATTTTTCCACCAGAACCATCAATGCGGATTATTGCTGACATCTTCCAGTACACCTCAAAGGTATTAATTGTTTCGATGTATTTATTTCTGTTATTACATCTAGTTAACTATATACAAGGCACTTTGGAGAACAAGGCAGAAGACCTGTCATAGTGAAGAATGATGCGGTTGTGGAAAGGGCCAGGATGAGAAGTTAAGATCCCAAATCACTTAAAGCATAAATTTTAAGATTTTTAGGTCAGTCCAAATCAAAGTCAGATTAAGATGAGCCTAAGCCTGAAAGGATGGCAGAAAACTTTGAGACAGGGAACAGGCAGGCTGTTCTTTGCATAGAAAGTAAGAAGCCCCACAGTTGAAGAGTCATCCAGCTGTAAGCAGGAGCAAAGAGGTAAGCAATCTCAAAGGACTTCTGCTGCAGCATTAAGCATGGGAAGGAGGTAATGAAAGGAGTGAAGTCCTGAACTGATGACTGGGAGTTTAGTACTACCAGTTGTTTTCTTAGTTGCATTTTCACTGGAGAGGTGGCAAGCAGCATGTAACTGAGAAAGATATTTAGCGTGGTGAGTGGTAGTTTAAGCACAATGAATAGTGCAAAAAGGTAAAAAGCATCTGAAGTAAACATCTGCAAACGCCACTTAATAGAGGTGGGTTGTATTCACAGTCTACAAAGAATGGATTACTTGTGAATATTGATAGAACAATTATCTGATCCCGTCCCTTCTGCTGTTATACCCTGTTGTCTTTTATTTTTGCAGTATATGCCAAAAT